AGGACAAGGGGTGCGGGTGCGGAGCGGGGGAAATCTCTCTCTCTCTCTCTCTCTCTCTCTCTCTCTCCTGCCATAGACATAATTTTTAAATTTAACTACATATTAACTTAAAGACCATGAAATTATAACCTAATTTCTAATTTTGAACTCAAATTCTAATTTTTTTAACTTAATTTCCAATTTAACCTCATTTATGATTACAAAAACACACATATATACAAAATATATATTTATGTTTATATATATAAAGCTCACTGTTTGACTTTGCATCAATCATAGATATCACAAACAATTGGTTAAAAGGGGAAAAAAAATCACCATCAAAGGAATGCAAAAGCCACAAAAAAAACAAAATCAATCAATCAAACAAAATATTTGATTTCAGTGCAGTGTGTCGTTGCTTCCTATTGCCGAACTACGAATCACCATAGAAAAAGCCAATCTACAAATTATTATTATTATTAAATTAGCGTAGAGATCTTATTGTGCTAAAAAATTGTTTACTTTTTACACCCAAAGGGAAAGACGGTCAAGGATATTACGGGAAGAGGGAGGCGATCGCGACGGTGGTGGGGGAGGAGAAGAGGGTGGCGGCATGGTGGTTTAAAGAAGTGGGGAAGGCAAGGGAAGTGGGGAAGGCAAGGGAGGTGGTGGATGGTGGCAAGGGGAGCTATAAAAGAGGGTTGATGGTGTCACAAGATGAAGGAGAAGAGAAAGAGAGGGATGCTAGTTTCGTGGCTGGAGGAGTTGGGGAGGGCTTGGGAGGTGGCAAAACAACGAGAGAGGGTTGCTGGTTAGGTTAGGGTTTTGACATGGTTTGAATGAAGAAGATGAAGTGAAGGGCAACATTGTTAGGGTTGTTAGGGTTTGGTGGTAGTGATGAAGATAAGGGTATAAATGTATTTTTTAATTTAAAATATAAAAATAGACCCACTCTCAAAGTTGGCGTGTATTACCCCTACCGTTAGTTTGGATGAAAAAAGTAACGGTCATAGTTTAAGTCTGAAACCACATGGGGTCTTTGGCTATTTTTTAACCATAAAGGAGTAAAGTGCTCCTTCCTTAAACCACAAGAGGAATAAAGTGAATTTTTCCCTTTTACATTATATATATTTAGCAACCAACTCAACAATGTCACCTTTCACACTAACTAATTACAATTCATTGAGAATACAGTATTGATTTTATGATCCAAATGGGCAAAATGTTAAAACTAATAGCTTGCACTAAGAGGATTGTGGTCATATGATGATCGCATATTAAGAAAAGTTAGAAATAGTCAATTATTTCATGATTGATTTTATACTTTACTTATATCACATGTTTTCTTCTCATTTATTTGTTTAAATTAGAACTGTTTAATTGAAACCACATGTTCTCTAAATTAGTTTCTTATATAAAACATATTGCCTAGAAAATGTATATTATGTGACTCTACCAAGTTTGAATGACAGCTAAAATTGTCAATAATTTCTTCTTTATAGCACATTGACAAATTTTCAATCAAATTCAAGCTTTGCCAACCTAAATCAGGCCTATAAAAACCAAGTTCCCATTTGTTTTCTCTGCTACTTCTACATATTTCCCACCACTCCATTGAATTCCGTCAACTATAGCTTTCACCAACTAAAGCTCTTATGTTTATAATGCATATTACATATAACTACTTAACTCACCACGTCTTCTTCCTCCATTGAGAAGCCATCAAAATAACATCTAAATAGCATTAACCACACACAAACAGCAGTGCCATAATGATCATAACCCATCAATTTACCTGAATTTGTTCAGACCCATAAGCTTTTGAGGTCGAACTTTCCTGAACAGCTTCTGTTGCAATGCTTGATGACATGAAAGCTCGCGGAGACACTACATTTTGCATCAAAAAACTACTTGACACCCTTCGCAATCGAAAACTCATCCTGGAGCAAGAGTAGAGCCTGTTAACAACGCAACATAATGAAAAAATGCAGTAAAGTAAAGAAACCCCAATTTCAAACCTTAAGGCCATGTTTGGTTCATGGATTTGGATAGAAATTTCAAAAGAAAAAGAGAAAAATTAAGTAAAATGTGAATGAAATAATGCTAAATTTCACGAACTTTCACATACTTTTTCTCTTTCTCTTTCCAAATCACTTCCCAAATCCAGCATAATAGGCTTAATATATAAGACAACTAGAAAGAATCTAGAATGTAATTTTTAATCCAGAGATGGCATAGCTACTCAAAACTCTTAACACTCTGCTTGATTAGCGAGAAAATGCAGGAAAATAAAGAAACACATATTTCAAACCGTTAGCCTTAATGGTATAAGAGAAAAATTAAAGAAAGCATTCTAATTAGTACTTTAAAACTCTTGAATATACATGTACATTCAAACAAAAGTCTAAATATTGTCCCATTTTACTACTTTTCCTGTGCAAAAGCACAGAAATACATAAGACACATAGTTGAAAGCATATCCTCTTATATTTTCCTACGTTTTCTCAGAAACCAAACAGGTTATACAGAGAGGGTACCTGGTTCTGAGAAGAAGCGAAGTGTGAGAGAGAGAAGAGGATGAGGAGAGAGAAAGACCGCGGGAGTGAATAGATGAGTAAGTTACAAAACGCGAGGCCATTAACCGAAGAGCAAAGTTGAGACGAGGTTTCAGAAGGGCCATTCGAGTAAGCAAAAATTTTCTCGCGCTTTCTCCGTGGAGAAAATTGAGGCTTGTGTTGTGAGTTCTTTTGATTTTTGGTAATGAATTTGGATGAATGAATATGAATGAAGATATAAAACCCTTTCAATTTTCCCTCTAAACCCTACCTTATGTTTTTGAATTGGAAGAACAAAAATTTGGGCCAATCTTGGTTGGGCCCAATGGTAGAATCTGGGTTAGCCCAAAATGATTTGGGCTTATTGAAGTTTGGTGGGGCCCAATTAAAATATTTTGAAATGGGCTAATCTTAGACTGGGCTCAATGGAACATTTACGAGTCAATCTTATTCACTGGACTTATTTATCTTTAAATTTAAGAGTTGGGATGATTCAAATTGGTTTAGTTTGGAAGGAAACAAAGACCAAACTAATGCTTATTATTCCATAAAATCTAGAAACAAATCAAGCCAAATTATGAAAATTTTATAATCAAACTAGACCGAACTAGTTAACCCCCGTTTGGTTCAAGTTAAAATTAAGATTTTTAAAAATATTGTTAACATTCATAATATGATCACAAAATACTGTTTAGGTAATTGTTTACAACTATACAAGAACAAACTTGCGAAACCAAAAAAATTACAACTTATGTATATATTAGATATTAATAAGATATATGAGTGTTTACGTATATAACAAATTATATATATGTATATATTTAAATGATCTAATTCGGTTCCAAACCAGACCTATAACTATAAAAACACAGATTGATGGGTCACTTTTCATGCCCAACATAAATATTAAAAATTAAATAAAAACTATTATTCAATAGAATAGCGATTAAGATCAGGTATCGTTCCAATATAACAAATAGGCTAGTGTACATTAATTTCAGATCAACTCCTAAATTAATTCAATAAAGATTGTTCATATGATGATAATTAAAAAAAAAAAAAGATTAAAAACTAAACATAACAAAAACAATGTAACATTAAGATTAGATATGAAAGTGAGGGTTTTAGAGTTATTACTCCACCACCAATCTCATAGTTAGGATTTATTGATTCACTTCATGAAAAATCACTATTATGGTGATAATGATAAATTGTCGCTACAAACCCGATAACATCTTCAAGAAAAATTCATATATTCAAATCTGGTACATGAATCATCATTGTTGACACAAAGCATCTACGTTAAACTAATGCCATAGACACACCTTGCCTTCCCTATGTATGACCCCCTTTTTTATTAGAAGAAAATTCCATTAAGGATAGCCAACTAGCATTTACAAAACAGTCCATCCAATAAATAGATTATACACCAAACAAAGTAAAAATATTACAAGAAATACAAAGATGAAAAACTATGAAAATATCCAGATGCACAATAGTACTTGTGCTAGTATTGTGAAGCAAAGCCAATCATAAGAGTTTGTCGTTAGAGCATATTTGAGATAAATCATAGGTTACAACCACAGTACCAATGGACTCCAAGAGAACAACCAAAAACCAAAGAAAACAAAGCAAAAGAAAAAAGGGACCTGACCTTAGATCCAAAACGGCTAGATGTGGTGGCGAAATGTTGGTCACAGCTTCGGCGTGAGTCGGTGGAGGAAGAACAATAAGAGAAAAATTAAAGAAAGCATTCTAATTAGTACTTTAAAACTCTTGAATATACATGTACATTCAAACAAAAGTCTAAATATTGTCCCATTTTACTACTTTTCCTGTGCAAAAGCACAGAAATACATAAGACACATAGTTGAAAGCATATCCTCTTATATTTTCCTACGTTTTCTCAGATGATTCCCCCCCCCCCAAGTTCCTAAGCAGTGTTCTAGGTATGACTCATCCGACGATTTTAATATATGCAAAGAAATACCATTTTATAATTATGTATTTAAAATCGAGAAAATTAAATACATATGAATTTAAATAAAGAGTTTGTTTGCATAAAAACTCTGAAAAATGTTATACAATCATCATCATAATACATCAATCTCAAGTAAAAATATAAAACTCTTGGGGTTTCATCAAACCCCAAGATGGAGTCTATAGTCACTTATGATTGTAGAAGAAATCTCCATATAGATTAGTGATTCCATCTTTCAATCCCTGCTTCGTTTTTGAATTTCACCGTCAAACTTATTTCTTTCTTCTTGTTCCCTTTGCCAAGGCCAAGCCTTCAAGGTCATGTTTGATTCACAAGACTAATAGTGAAGTATTAATAATTCTATTAAATTAGTGTGGTATTCACTATCCAATTTGATTAATATCCATTGGATTAATAATCTCACCCCTACTCCATTACTAATAATCCTACAAATTTGTTAGATTAATTATCCATCGCATTAATAATCCTAAACCAAAATGTTAAAACAAATATAGGATAATTGGACCCACGGATTAATAATCTCAATCCCATGCTCTAATCCACCAAATCAAACATGCCCCAAAAGTACCCTTTCAAAGGACATTGGTACCTCTTTTTGTCTTGAACATAACCCTAAAAATAGGAAAATTTTGAAATTGGTCATGCTCAAGCACATCATGTTTGTGCTCAAGCACAATGTTGCAAAATATTTTTCTCTTCAGCAACGTTAGTGCTCAAGCACTTAGACTGTGCTCGACACAAAATGGAAAACTTGTTTGCTCTTTTTCAACTTTCAACACTTCATTTTCTTGACTTGATTTGGACTTTAAATTTCGTGATTCCATCTTTCAATCCCTGCTTCGTTTTTGAATTTCACCGTCAAACTTATTTCTTTCTTCTTGTTCCCTTTGCCAAGGCCAAGCCTTCAAGGTCATGTTTGATTCACAAGACTAATAGTGAAGTATTAATAATTCTATTAAATTAGTGTGGTATTCACTATCCAATTTGATTAATATCCATTGGATTAATAATCTCACCCCTACTCCATTACTAATAATCCTACAAATTTGTTAGATTAATTATCCATCGCATTAATAATCCTAAACCAAAATGTTAAAACAAATATAGGATAATTGGACCCACGGATTAATAATCTCAATCCCATGCTCTAATCCACCAAATCAAACATGCCCCAAAAGTACCCTTTCAAAGGACATTGGTACCTCTTTTTGTCTTGAACATAACCCTAAAAATAGGAAAATTTTGAAATTGGTCATGCTCAAGCACATCATGTTTGTGCTCAAGCACAATGTTGCAAAATATTTTTCTCTTCAGCAACGTTAGTGCTCAAGCACTTAGACTGTGCTCGACACAAAATGGAAAACTTGTTTGCTCTTTTTCAACTTTCAACACTTCATTTTCTTGACTTGATTTGGACTTTAAATTTCAAATCATTGCGATGGAAATGAATATTGTTTGAGAACTGTTGGTTGAACATTGTGAAATTAATTGAAAGAGATGACTAAGAATTGATTTTAAGAACAAACTGAATGAGAATTGGAAATGTATGTTTTGAAATGAATTTCATAAGCATGATTTGTGAATAGAATTTGTGGAATTAAAAACGATATTTGAAACTCTTGATTTATGATTTTAAAATTGTAAATGTTTTTTCTGAGGTAATGTATAAATGAGAATGTGATTAAGTTGGCTCAAGGTGAAAGACTGAAAATCTACGCTAGATTATGTATCAATTTTCTTCTTGTTAGTAACCAATAAGTGGAGGTGATTAGGTGGTGCTTCGGGAGACCACTAACAGATACATTGACCTAGGGATTTACCTCGGTTAATTGAATGGATTATTTTGTGTATTGAAACGAGACTTGTATAATTGATGAACCTTGCAAAATTGATATTATGTTCTTGGAAAATGAAAAGATTGTTTTGAATCAAAAACAGTTTTTGAATTCAATTCACTGTGTTTGGTTGTGGTTTTTTGAACACGGTTTTTAGAAAATTTTATACAAGTTGTTTGGTTATTCTGAAAAATGAGTTATGTTTTCAAAAAAAAATATGTAAGATCTGATTCCTCATGTGATGTGAATAGCCTAGGCTTTAGTACAATCTACTTGTACTCCTCTTCATAGCCTCTGCCTTGCCTCTTTATTACCTTTACATATAGGTACATTTTTTGTTTTTTATTATTTACACAGACAACCCAGAACTATTTTTCAGTTTGACTATTTATTTAAATTCCATGGAAATTCTCCGATTTCGAAAATAAATATAAACATAAATATATGATGTTTTAAATTGTAAATTTGTAAAAAAATATATGATTTCATAAATAAATTTACACATCGATTCACATTTTTTTTTAATGCCAATTTGAAATAATTGGGCATTTTTCTGAAATTGCGGTTTCCAGAAATTTGTACATAAATTCACTGTGTTTTCTGGAAACTTGTATAAATTTATGTTTTTTGGAAATTTGTATAAATTTACCATTTAAGCAAATTTGTAAATAAATTTTGGTTATTTTGAAAATTTTGTACATAAATTTGCCAAGTGTACGATTTTGTGAATACAAATTTATGATTTCATTTTGTGCATAACATTTATGAAAATTTGATTATACGAAATAAATTTTTGAATGCCAATTTAGAAAAAAAAATTCACTTTTCTATGGTTGCAATGAGTGGAAATTTTATAAAAAAGTGATACAGTTAATGAGCCAATTTGAAATAATTGGGCATTTTTCTGAAATTGCGGTTCCGGAAATTTGTACATAAATTCACTGTGTTTTTTGGAAACTTGTATAAATTTATGTTTTTTGGAAATTTGTATAAATTTACCATTTAAGCAAATTTGTAAATAAATTTTGGTTATTCTGAAAATTTTGTACATAAATTTGCCAAGCGTACGATTTTGTGAAAACAAATTTATGATTTCATTTTGTGCATAACATTTATGAAAATTTGATTATACGAAATAAATTTTTGAATGCCAATTTAGAAAAAAAAAATTCACTTTTCTATGGTTGCAATGAGTGGAAATTTTATAAAAAAAGTGATACAGTTAATGGTAAGATATATACCCATAAATGGGTACATGTCACATTATATTTTCATAAAACCAAGCATGTATATATATATATATATATAATATACCTGAGAGAATGTTTTGATGTGAATTTTTTGTGTTTTTTTTAATTGTTTCAATCATTAACTTGGAGGGAAATTTGAAATTTTAATGATGT